TAGTTCTTTCTTCCTTGTCTTTCTCCCCCCCCGCCTGCTCTCCTCGCCGCCCCCCCCATCCCACCCCCGCCGTCATCTGCCTTCTCTGCATGTTCCTGGGAATGTCTCACACACACAGGAGTCGGGGCCCTGGGCCACCACTCACCCACCCGTCTCACAGGCCTCGTCACTGACACCTTCCAGGGCGGGGGCTTCCAGGGCAGGGGTCGCAGCAGAGTCTCCCAGCTGCGTGTGACAGCACCTTTCCCAGGTCCCGCCTAAAATTCCGATTTGGGAGGTGGGGTGGGAGCTGGGATTTCGGCAAGACCGTGGGTGGCTGGGCTGGGGGCTGGGGGCCGTGAAGTGCCCCTGCCCTGGGACGCGGCCCTGCAGAGCCTGAGGAAGCAGGGCCTTGACGGGAGTGGCCCTCCGGGCACCACCGCTCTGCCTCTTACTCAGGCTGCAGAGTCCTCCCCTGGAATCACAGAAGGGGCAGGGGCGAAGTGACATCACGTGCACAAAGCCCAGGGCGCCCGGGACGCGGTCAGAGCTGCATAGACAGCCCTGCCTTCCATGCAACCCCTGTTTCCATTGCTGTCTCCACGTGCCCCCGCTCCCCCCACGTGACCTGTCCCCAGACAGCTGGCGGGGCCAGTAACTGTTCCAGTGTGGATAGCAGAGATGGGGGACACACAGGGAACCTCCTCCAGGAAGGCTGCCTTGATGCCCTGAGCCAGTAGTCAGCCTCGCCCCTGCGTGGATCTAGCTATTCACACCAGCCTGGCGTGCATTTTTGTATCTACTGCTGTTTTTATTTGTGGCGCGATGACATTGCCGTGCCAGCACCCACCACACCAGGGCCAGGTCAGTTAGGCTGAAACAGACGTGCTCAGTCCACCGGGGCTGGGACACTGGGCCCTCCCCGGGCCTCGCTGCGCACCTTGAATGTTGAGGGGGACAGTGTCAGTGCAAGGCGGCCTAGGCTGGCAGCGGGAGCTCCGGGCCTGAGGTCTGACTGCTCAGACACGCTGTGCAGCCCTGAGGCAGGACAGCTGACACCTCTGAACCCCGCTTTTTTCATATAACAAGGCAGCTCTCGCCTACACTGTCTCGGAGCCTGCCTTCTAGTTTTGAGAAGCTTATGGACCACAGAGTCCTCCCCCTCGCCACCAAGCCTGCAAAGGATAGGAAGTGGGACTTTCTGGGGGCGGGGGGAGAGAAAAAAGAAAGAAAACTTTCAAAAGTGGGCAGAACTGTCAGCAGTAGCAGTAGGCACCTTGCCTGGTAAGTCTCTGGGTAACTTCCTAGAAGGGGGGGGCGGGTCACTGCATCACGGAGCAAGAATGTGGGGGTAGAATCCATTTTACAGATGGGCGAACTGAGGCCCGCACAGGCCGAAGGACCCCGTGCCCAGCCCAGCCTGAGGCTGCTTTAAATGCCCATCTGGCCACATCACTGCCTTGCTCTGAATCGCCGCATGTGTGCCCACTGCGCCCGGGACAAAACCCAGCCTGTCTGCCCGGGGCCCGGGAGGCCACACCCTGCCTGTCTCTCTGAGCCACAGAAGGACCCCTCATCACGCCCTCATGCTGATACCCGAGCTCCCACGAGGCTCAGGCGAAGTCAGACACAATAGCCCGTGGGTCTGGGGCTGCCTGGGCTGGACCCGAGGCCCCACAGCTCTCCTCTCTCCCAGAGGCCCAGCAGGAGGTCTGGGGCTGTGACTCTGGGGAAGGCGGGGACAGGGAGAGATGGAGGGAAGGGGACGCGCGTCTCCCCGAGGTGCAGGCCGCTGTCAGCATGGCGTCACTCGCGGAGCCGGCTTCATACCAGTGCACGGCCAGATGGCTCGCGCAGCGCCTGGTGAACTTCCTGTCTGTGGCATCCATCTGTCCTGCGGTGCTCCCGCAGGTGTGAGCGGTGGGTGGCCCGTGAGTGGCCCAGGGCAGGGGCTGCCACCCGGAGAGGCACAGGGCACCTGAGAGGGAGGGCCTGGATGGTGCAGACCCCGGCTCACCTCTCCGGCCAGTTTTCACCTACGGGGCAGAGGCCGCCCTGCTGCCCCCGCAACGCCGGTGTGCTACACGCTCCAGGAGCCACGGTGGCATCTGTCACACCCGTGATTACCTGTCACTGTCTGCGGGCTGTGAGGGGAGAAGCCAGGCGTGCCCAGGTCCCTGCCATGTCCCCAGCCCCTGGCATAAGCCCCAGCCCACAGCAGGTGCTCAATAAACACTTGATGACAAGTTCCAGCCATCCTTGTTGCCCCACACATGCACGCTCGCACACACACACTCACATGCATGCACACACACTCATACCTGCACATACACACTCACGCGCATGCATGCACACAAATGCGCACACTCACACACACCGCACGTGCAGGCTTACACACTCACACATGTGCACACACACACTCACACACACACTCACACACATGTGCAGGCTCACACACACACACGCACACACTCACACACATGCTGCCTTCCCCCTAACCCACACCCTTCCCCAGTCCTCCCGGCTGCCTGCTGTCTCAACGCTGCACTGCCGACCCCCTTCAAGGCAGCCCTGGCTCCAGCTCTTCTGTGAAGTCTCCCTCCGGTCCCAGGCAGGTGGCTGCTCTGAGCGGCGCAGCCCAGTCAGCCAGCTGCTCATCCATTCGCTATTCATTCTCTCAGCAAAGAGCCACGGGCTCCCGGGGGCCAGACGCTCCTGTCCTCAGGCTGCTTGGAGTCGGGCTGCTGGCTGTGCCCTGCCCTCCGGCTGTGCCCATGCCACTCTGTTCATGAGGGTCTACCCACATGCCCTCATGCACTGGGCATAGAGCCCACCAGGACGAGGGCTGGTGGCTGCAGAATGGTGGGATGACAGTGCTCCTCAGTCAGCCAGCCCAGCGGAGGCGGCCCCACCCACAGAGCACACAGTCAGGAACGCTGCGCTCACGACACCCACTGCGCGCTAGCATAGGCCAGGCCTGTGGCTGCTGCAGGGCCGGGCCCGAGGTGAGCGAGCACCCTTGCCCCAGGTCCCTGGAATGCTGGCTGCAGCTCGCTCCGGGCTCTGACTGATGGGGCCAGCAGCCTCCTCCCAGTACAGGGGGTGGGTGGGCTCACTGTTCTCGGCAAGGCGGTTGTGGGGGAGTGGAATGAGCATGAGAAAGCCTGCAGCAACGAGACATCTCACTGGCTCCCTCCCCTTCTGGGACTTGGGACTTGGCCCATGTGGGACCCTGGCTGATGGCCTTGGGAGCCAGCACAGAGCCAGAGCACTCAGCTGTCCCAGCTCCACATCCCATCACAAACAAACACTGTTGCCTGGAAACGCTGCCTTGCCCCAGCCTC